AGCCACGCCTCACGATTGAGAAGGGCACCCACACAGAGCACATCTGAACATACCCATTGGACTTGCAGCAGAATCATGGATAGCAGATGCACAGCTCTGGTCCTCCTGAAGAGCTGAGCTGTTGACAGCTTAGATGCCTATAGACTCTTAATTGCCTGTGGGATTCCACAGATTGTGTGCTTGGATGTGAAGTAACAAACTGCCAAGTTTTTATGGATAGTGGGAAGCCCTGCAGTGTCTAGCCCCCAACTCTCCAGCCCATACTGGGCTTTTGGTTCATATATATACTCATATATGTATATATATATAGATATAAATTTTTTAAGCTTTTTTTTTCTTATAAAAAACTTTGGAGCTTGATGAAGAGCTGCCCCAATAGAAATGGTTCAAGTTTTAATAGTGGCATGTTTTGTGATTTATTTGCTTTATCTCTGTTATAGCTGACATGACTTTTAATGGCCATATATATAGATATAATTTTTTTAAGCTTTTTTTTTCCTTATGAAAAAGCTTTGGAGCTTCATGAAGAGCTGCCCCAATAGAAGTGGTTCAAGTTTTAATAGTGGCATGTTTTGTGATTTATTTGCTTTATCTCTGTTATAGCTGACATGACTTTTAATGGCCCTGTTCCTCTTAACAGTGTTTTCCCAATGTGCTGTTTGTTTAAAAGCTAAGTGGGAGGGGAGGAATGTGTTGCTTTTCTCTTCTTGGCTGCTGTCTGTGGCTTCGCACTGCCATTACTGAAACTGGAGGATGAGCTCTTTGAAAAGAATTTAGGAAAAAAACTGGGGTCTTAGTTCCCTGGAGGAGCACAGACCAATGGAAGGATCCAGAGTCAGAGGAGTGGATATTTGTTTGCATTTTCAGAGATGGGTAGAGGAGGTGATTCGCTTTATTAGGGGCATATGGCTATGAATCTTCAAAGGGTGCTAAGGTTTTCATAGAAGTAATGTAAAATAAGCACACCTCTTTGGTCACTCACTAGGCAAACATTTGTATAGCTCTTCAGAGAACTTCAGGGATTCCTGTATTCTCTGTAACACCAAATATAGACAGTCAACACAACAGCAACTAAACTAAAACTATCTTTGAGTGCAAATAATCACAAACTGTATTTGATATTATAGTTGTATAACAGCTATTGAAAAACAAAAAGATGGGAAGAAATTAAAAAATTGTAATGCTAGTGAATTCCCCTACAGTACCATTTTGCTGTAGGTAACAGATGAATCTTGGAAATGGGAAAACCAAGGCAGAGGACATGAGGTCCCAGGGTGCTGCTGCCTGTGAAGCCCTCGGCTGCTGCCAAGGCCCTGTTTGGAGGGAGCCTGGAGCCTGTTTCTTGTTCCTCAGTGTTGCTTAGGCCAGCACTGGTTGGAGTCCTTGGGCATTGGAAACTAACTGTTAGCAGAAAAACTTGCACGTTAATTCAAACTTTCTAGTCTTGCCTTTTCACAGCTTTAAGTAGTGCATTTCCTCTGGGTAAAGCACTGAGGGACAGAGTAACTGTGTACTTAAACGTTTTTAAGTAGCTGCCAGTGGATTTTCAGCTATATTTTTGTGGGTGATGGTCCCAGTAAAGCTCATTGTACGATCAGATGGGTTTTAGTACTTGCTTGATTTGCTGTACTTTTGGAAGGACTTTCCCCAAGTGATCTTTTCTTGGATGACCTCTCCATACTGTCATTAAAACTTGGAAACTTTGGCCTTCTTGACAGTTAGTTCTGTGTTCTCATTATGTTCATTCCTATTGTAAACATGCTAAAATTGCTGCTGTTGTTGCTTAGAATGGATTTTTCCTCAGTTGTTTTGAAGTTTAATAGAAATAGAAGTTAATCTTTAAGAGAGTCAGGCTGGTAATGATTGGATGGCCGAGCTTGATGGGTCACGCTGTGTCTGTCTTTTCATTTGCCTAGTAGATGATGTTCTGCTGACTCCAGCTGTTTTTTTGGAAAGCAGAAAAACAATTTGCTTTTCCTTCCCATAAAGTATAACCCTTTGTTTATCCTTGTACTGCTGCATGCTTCCAAAATGCAGAGACTTGCAAAGAAAAGAAAGGGAGGAAATAGCTCTTTTTTTACGCTGTTTTTCGTATCGGAGAGTGGAGTTTCGTAGCGAGTTGAATTGTTGACCTCTGTGGAGGTTATTATTAGAATTGGCTGAGTTGTGTGTGGAGCTGTCTCTGATTGACCGAGTCCAGTTCACGGAGCAAACTACCTACAGCAGGCTTGGTGGAGACAGTTGCAGTTTTTCTGGGATAACTTTGCACTTTTTATATTTCAATTGTTGATTTGAAGAATAACACTTTCTGTAGCTCTTCATTTAGACTTCAGTGAAGTGAAGCAATAGACAACAGCTCCCTTTCCCAAGCAAGACATTTCATTTAGTTAGGAGTCGCTGAATTGTTGGGAGTTTGTTGCTGCAGTGCATCTGTGGGCTGATACTTCTCTTTTCTGCTGCAGGGACGTTATGAGGTGCCTGCAAGAGTTTAGGAAATGCATGTGGCTGATTCTGAAGTCACTGTATGATGGGAGGAGGTATCATCTGACAGCTTTAATACTGTATTTTATACATAAAAGGGAAGAAAAATGAAGCTGGGGGGACCTGAATGTCTTTCCTGACCCTGATGAGTGTTGTTGAAGCAGAAGTCAGCATTAAAACCTTACTGGTCCAGATCTATAATGTCATCGGAAGAACACGTTTGTATTTACAACCTAGGGTTGTATTTACAACCTTTTTTTGCTTGCTTTGTTCCTTAAGAGGCTCTGGCTACCCACATTTTATGCACTTCTGGAATGCAATAACAATTGTGGCATCATCTCTTCAGAATTCGTTTTCCTTCCTGAGATCAAGGCAGTGATAAGGCTTTACAGAATATTCACTTGGTTTTGCTTTCCTGGCCTGAGATGGATTTAATTGGTTGAATTGCTGCTTTTCTCCTTCCATTGCTTTATGACCTCTGAAATAGCAAGCTATGATCCTTCGAATTTTGCAATACCCTCACTGTTCTGTGCTAAAAAATGAAGCAAAGCTATTTATCTGAGACACCATGGGCAGTCCAGCAGCTCTTTCTGCACATGCCCAACAAAATGCCATCAGATGTGTCTTTAACTGTTGTCATGTGTCAGTGTGAAATGACACTTGTGTGCTCCAGTTAACACCCTCCAATGCAGCCTCTTCAGCATTTTTGAGAACATTGAAAATAATGCCATGAAACTTATTAAAAAAATCTGTTGAATGTTCTGGGTTAACCTGAGGCCTGTTCAAAAAGACTCTGATATTAAAAAAAAAAAAGGTGGTGAATAGGTTTGCAATTTCTCACTGACTGGCAGATCAGTATGGAGTCTGACAGAAGAGGCTTCGGGGAAATGGAAGCTTAGCTATAGCTGTGTCTGTCGTCTTTTTTATGTTGCTTCTCAGAAGGCAGTGTAGGATCTTCTGCAATAAACTGCAGTTGTTGGTTGTATGTGTTCTTCTCAAATGCTGTTTGCCTGATCTCGGTGCTCTTTCTGCCTGGGGTACAGGATCAGCAAACCAGGGCTCCTTTAAATGAGACACACATGTCTGTAAGTTTTAAAATGTTTTGTTTCTTGGCCAGCCAGTGACAGAATATGAATTACTAAATTGTCTATATTAGCCTAAGGACTGATGAAAACAGAGATTAACCATTTGGTTGATAGTCCTGTCGTTCCCCTCATTCTCTCCCTTTATGGAATATATTTTTTTACTATGTCTTAGAGTACCAGAAGAGATTTGGGTCTAACAAATAACATTATTCATGTGGCTGAGGGTCCTGTTTTACTAACTTAAGTTTGAACGCTCAAGTTTAAATCTTGTTATCAGGGCCCTAATCAGTAAACAGTTTTGTGGCTTCATCTGTGTGACTTTAGTATCTGAACTTTCAGACTCTTAGCTCCACAAAGGATCCCCCTGAAATCAGCCTGCTGGAACCACGAACATGATGTCAGGGCTTGGTTACTAAAGTTCAGATACATCTGTAGGATCTGAGTGCTGGATACAGGCAGGGGTTGCACGCTGATGTAGAAGGAGCAGCAGTCCACCCAAAAGAGCTTCATCTAAACAATTAGAATGGGGTCACCTGCCCCTTTTAATTGTAGATTTTTAAGCTTTTCATTTATGTTTAAGCATTATCTAATTGTTTTCAAGAATTTAAAATTCTGTATTTTAAATGTTAGTAGTTAAGTGTAATATTCTTAGGAGTAGTTTTTTGAGGGGAATAAAAAATTTTAGTTTTTTTTTTTTTTTAAACACAGGTTTTCTGTATAAACTTGCATTTAACAGGGGCCTGATTCATTTTAAGCCTTGCTGTATTTCCATTCACAGCTACTTACAGTGGCTTTCTACTATAGATATTGTCTCATTTCTAATCTGTAGGAATAATTCTCTGTTTTATGTTTATCTCTACGCATGTGTATATATCTATTTTTAATGATAATGTAAAGCTAATGAAAAGCAGGTGAACAATGGAAACTTTTGCCACCAATTTTAAAGGAATTATGAGTTCTCTCACTGTGTAAAGTTGTGTCCGCAGAAGTAATCTGAGAGGCTGAGGGCTTGGATATAGAATTATTTAAAAAAAACAAAGCACAATACACCCTTTAGTACCACAAGAATCTAGTAGTGCTTGAAGCAAACTGAAACTGTTGACCAATAGAAAGGCATCAATCAAGTAAAATTAATTAGAACATGAAGATACAAAACAATCCAGTCAAACTTAAATATTGCCCTCACTCCACTGCATCAAAATGCCACTAAAAAATGCAAGCGTAAGGAGAAAAGAGTATTTACACATAATTAACTGTTCAAAATAGCTCATCTAACCGCAGCCTTATCTTTGGGAACAAAAATGCAAGCATTTACTGAGTGATATTAGCAATTGAAAGGTTTGTGTTTAGATTTTTGTTTTCTTGGCAATAGATAGAATTCTTTGTAAAAAGTCATTAAGATATTTCTTAATGTTGCCTTTTAAAACTTTTCAGGCTGCTATCCTTGTCCTGGGCCAAACATGAATCCTATTGCTCTTGGAAGCCGTTGGCTTGCTTATGCAGAAAATAAGGTAAGGAAAGGTTTAATTTAAACAGATACTTCTCTTTGGTTCTAGATCTTATTCCAGCTTGTGTGTATGTAGGAGGAAAAATGAAAGTCCAGGAAAAGAAGCTGTGTTTAAAACATTATCTGTAAGAAGATTTGCGTAACAGTGACAAACCTCATCTTTGACCCATGCTGGTGGTGCTTTGGTGTTCATATATGTCAGATCTTTACTTTGCACAGTGGATTTAAGCTCATGAGCTTGAGGGGCATAAATACATAAGTAGCATAGGTAGAGAAGACAGTTATCAACATGTGTTTTCAGTGAGGTGACTCAATAGTCAACTCATTTTGCATTTAAAATGTTTAAAGCACTTAATTATAGACGCTTCTGAAAGGCCAGCAAGCCAAGATTCCTAAATTCTGTTTGGGGAAACTGAGGCTGGACAGACCCAGTGCATTTGTCTAAAACAACATAGCAGTGCACTTAGTAAATTAGGAAATAGCATTAAAAAGACCACTTTTTAACATCTTTTCTGAAGGTGTTAGGCTTCAGGAAAGATAAGAATATGTTGAAATAATTTTTCTTGTATCTAGAGGCAAAGAAAGAAAACACATCCCAAGCAAAACAATTATCACCATTCTTGCCCAAAGAAGTGCTTGTGTGTTTAAAGCTTGAAGTGTTTGAAAACTTTAAATTCAACCTCTAATGCCTTGTTTTTATTTCAGAGCAGATGTTTTTTCTCCCTTCCACCTGTGATGGGAATAGCTGTTTCCAGAGCTGAACCAGAAATTATCAGAGGCAGACTTTAGCAATGTATTTGTTACACCTTTTCAAGCACAATTGATTTCTCTCCAAAGCCAGGCCTGCTTTGTCTTTAATGCCACCCTATGTGGTTTTATAAAACTTAACCAGCCAGCCTGGGATTTAAAAAGTACTGCTGCCAAAAATATAAGCCACTGATCAGTAAAAGAATGATATCACAAAAGGAATTTAAATGGCTTGTGTGTTCCCAGGGGTATTCACTGTGCACTTCCTCTTTCTCCCCAGTTTAACTATTGTTATTTAGGTACTCAAAGATATATAAGTTGGCAAGGAAAACCTATAGAAACAAATTCAGTTTACAGTGATTTTTAATTTTCTTCTAGCTAAACCAGTTCAATAATGGGCAATATGTTCTGTGTACCTGCAACAAATATCTGTAGTTTTTGTCAATTGTATTTAGTCAGAAGCACAGATTCTATTGTTAATTACAGTTCAAAGGCAAAACTGGCTTTTGTTAGTTAATGACAGGTAGAAGAGTCTTGTTTTGATTTATTCATTTTGAAGGAAGGCAATTTTGAGTAAACTCCATGTACATTCCTTTACCCATTAAACATAAAGTTTAAAGTAGCTCTTTTCCTTTGTCATTTCTTTGCTTGCTAGTCATAAAAAGGAGGGGAAAGCCACACTCAGATTCTTAGAATGTCTGATATTTAATGTTACATATACATGGCTAAAGCTTTTGATTATATTTATTTAAATTTATTTGTGGTATTGCTGCCAGACCAAAAATCCCACCATTTCAAAGTTTATGAATTCTTAGTGACTACTCATCTTGTAATTGAAAACTGGAGTGGAGTATGCGACAGTCTGGGTGGCACCCAGAAGATTATAAAAAGGGGTTAAGTGTCTCAGCAGGGCTTTTTGCTATTTGTAGGAAAAAACACACCACGGTACATGATAAATAAGAGCTATGGTAATGGGTTATGGGTTTGTGTAGTTTAATAGTAGTTACTCAGTTGCTGTCTTTCTTCTTGTAGCTGATCCGATGCCATCAATCCCGTGGTGGAGCCTGTGGAGACAACATTCAGTCTTACACTGCCACAGTCATTAGTGCTGCCAAAGTGAGTACATGATCTGCTGCTGGGGGAGGTTATCATGTAAGATAATTATTAGGTTTCCCTGCTGAATTGTACTGTGTGTCATCGCTCCCCCCATTCACAAAAGAGGAGAATACAGTAATAAACACACTGAGCACCGTGCCTAGGGTCCTGATCCTGCACGTCTCAGAGCAGCCATTGCTTTCATACACTATTCCTGTCCTTCTGAAGTGATTTTTTAAAAAAAATAGTTTATTACAAATACTTATTCATATTAGTGACCCCTCAGAAAAAGCATAGTAAAATGGATTTGTGTAGTGGCTATTCATAACATTGCAAGTTTACGTGATTAGAAATCAACACTGTGAATTATTAGTCTCTTAGCATCATGAAAACTGAGTTTACAAGTGCTAGGTGCTTTTTTTGGACTCAATCACAATAGTGTTACATGTCTTAATCTCTATGAATGTTGGCAGTGCAGTACCAGAGCTAATTAATTACCTGGCAACTTCCATTGAATGTTAAAGTTTATTAATGACTGTTTACATATAGGTTCCATTGCCGAGTTTTCTTAGTTCAGATGCCATTACAATATCCTTCTGTTTTCAGAGAAATGTCTTGGGGTGGATAGTATCAAAAGAAGACCGTGGCTTGGAAAAATCTTAAAATCTTAGACAAGCCAAAGAGTATGCAGAACTGTTGTTTTACTATTCCCCCTCTCCACCCCCATCCTTCTCCTTTCCTTGAGGACTTGCCTGCAACATTTTGCCAAGTAATTTCTTTTTCTCACACACACGCGCATACACAAAGTGAGTTTTGGCATTGTCTGGCAAACTTCGTGCTGATTACAAGCTTTCATAGTAACCACCAGCCTTTTCATTTCTGATATGCACAACAAAACAAATCTAATAATAGGAATGAAATGACAGCACAGAGCAGAAAGCTCAGTGTCACTGAAGAAAACAACAGTTAAAAGAACCCACAAAGAGAGACCTAGGGCATGCCGGCTCATGTGAAAACAAAACAGCAAAACAAACATATTCCATCAGCATAGCTTTGGACACGGTCTCACTGTGGTTGGAGGAGGAGAAAAATCACAGTTTTTTATGTTGTTGAGAACTTCAATTGCTGTTCTTCTGAAGACATCTGAAATTTGCTGTACCTCTGCATACTTTCACCATCAGAAAAAAAAGTTGCTGGAAAATTTCCCTGTAATCCTTCATTCTCAGCATCATTAACATGTTTTTTTATAGCACAGATAAGTTTGAAAACCCAGCTGGCTTAGTGTGATCAGCCACAGTTATGATCAGATGTGAAAACTTGCTGCCAAAGCCAAGCCTACTCTTGACTGAAGAAGAACAAAGCTTTTTTAAACCACATAATGATTGTCAAAGCATTCTAGTAGGCGTTGAAATCTTAAGCATTATTCTTTTTAACCTTTTTTGTCAGACTTAAAAAAAAATTATCTAAAAAAGGACATATTTTATAGCCCTTACTCTAAAAGACTGTGGACAACTTCGTTTTAAATCCAGTAAGGACCAAATCGATGACCTTACCTGTTGGGTAGTACTAGCCAAGGATCATAATCCAGAAATTCCCACATAAAGCTGAACATATGCAAACATTGATGTAGTGATGCTGCATCATGTGAATAGATAATGGAGATAAAATGTTTTCTTAATCATGGGAAAGAACAGATTGTTACCCTTTATACAGAGATGAAGGAATAGTGAAAGTTAGGAAAACAGATAAACATAAGGGCACAATCTCTCTACTACTTGTACTCTGCCTAGCACATTGCTTTGACTCTCGACTGGCTGGTAGATGTTACTGTAATACACAAACTTAATACTAATATAGTTTTACATGTTTGCATGATTTGGCTCTTGAGTGTATCTTAGCCTTACCAGAGCAATTTGTTATTCATATCTGACTGTGTAACGCTAAAGCTACAATGTTTAATTTATTACCAAATTCATTGAATTTTGGCTTACCCTATCTAGCAAGTTTTCATCTCTGATAATGGAAATGCTGACTTCCTTGTTGGCAGATATACTCCAAATACCTGTTGCTCTTTGTCCATCTTATTACCTTACCATAAACTTTAGTCCTTGCTTAAGTAAGTCTTAATTTATAAACCTCTACTGCTGTTATATCTTATCAGCCTGCAATGGTTTGTAAATCATTTGCTTTGATCAGCAGATATTAACTTTTCTGAAAGTGGATGTCCTTTTCTGTTCCCTGCACTGCTGCTTTTTGGTTCAGAATGGTTCCATAAAAGCTCTTGTTTTGTCAGACTATCTTGGGTTACAGCCATTTCTCTGTTTGGGTTCCAATTTCTTATTGAAAGAAGTGAAAGATCCTTCACATAAAGGAAAAAGATAAAGCTGAGAGCAACAAGTCATTTCAACAGGGTCACTCTTGAGAATTGCCTTTCAGATCTGCTGTGGGACTCCGTAGCAGCACAGAATGTTTGTTTTAATGGTATTCCCTTTGAGAAATGTTTTTAAACGTCCTGTTAGTGAACTGTGGGTTTGTCTTCAGTGTGATGTTCTGCTGTGTCCTATTCTTCAGGCAGCAGATAAATGTCCTCCTTAATCCAATAACGTACGAGTCAGAAGCTTCCCTGTTAACTGAGAATACCGAGGTCAAAATTGTGGTTATGTTGGAGTGAGGCGTTTACAAGTGCCAAAACTCTCGTTATTCTGGTAACATTAGGAACAATTCCTTTACATCATCTTCCTATTTGATTTTATAATATCTAAAAGGATTTTATTTGAACATTGAACTTTTCCCTGGTTTTCCTTTGATGCATCTTGCAAGACAGTTGCTTTCTGCTGTTGCTGGAAAGACACACACGTTTTTTTCCAGCTCCATCTCTTTTTTTCATTTCCCAATGCATGTTTGGTGGCTTTCTCTCTTTTCATATTCTCAAAAACTCTGCTAATTTCTATAATTTGACCAAGCAGAAAATTTCAGGAAAGAAAAGATGTGTCAAGATTCCAGCTGAGGTTAATGTTTAGCAAAGATAGAAATTCATGTCTTTGGGAAAATGAAGATGTTGTTCCTTATGGGATAAAGATTCTTATCTGTCCAATTGAACGAACGCAGTAGAACAGACATAGAATATCTTTCAGAATAAACCCTGTTATTAGTTTAGAGTATTAGTGATGGGAGAATGTTCAGGTGCTTGGTTTGAGATAAGCACCCACATGTGAAATTGCGTGTTATAATTATCCACATTTATCCATTTTGGATGCAACATAGAAGGGGAGATTGGAAAAGACATTCTTATGTCTCCATGGACAAATGTGCCATGCTCTTTAAGATAAATTTCCCAGTAGGTCTCATCCCTGTCCCACTTTCAGAATACTCACCAAGAGCAGGAAGGAGAAACATCTTTGCGAACCACGAGCATTTCAACAAACATTTAGATTGAACTTGAATCTGTAATTGATTGTAGTTCATTTTGTTCAAACTAACCAGGAGATTTTCAGATTGTTGGTTACCAAAGCATATCTTTTTGATCTCTTTCTGCTTTGTGTAGATTTTTCATTTGTAAACAAATAAATCCTGTAAAAGGTATTTATTATGAGAAAGAGGAACAATATATTGTTTTGCTGCTAAAAGGATGTAAGACCTTCGTTGGAACAAAACAGCCTAACAGGCACTAAATGATGCATTTAAATTTTCTCATCTAATTGAAGTTGTACTTATTTGACAATTAAATGAGTGCATACAATCCTTTTAATTAAATATGTGCCTTTCTTTATATTTGAATAAATGTGAACAGTCTTATTTTTAAGTAGATAGAGTACACGTGAACATAGAAATAACTTGTTAGTTTGCATAATGTGCATCACTGCTTACAAAAGCAACTGGATCAAGTATTTTAATTTTATTTATAAGAAAATTTCACTGAGTATGTGTTGGCAGGTTCCCATCAATGACAAAGGAACTGGGACAGTGCAAACTTTACCCTACTTAATTTAAAATCTATTTGGTCTGTCAAATGTCTAGCATCAAATTATAAACCAAGTTCTTCTCACCTCATAACTTCTTTAGTTAATTCTTTCTCTGTATCTTTTAATCCTGTAGTGGTAAAGTGATTTAGCAAAGGCTGCATCTGTTTTCTCTTGTTACCTGATAACTTCTTAATGAGTACTAACAGCTTATGTGAGAGCAAGGTCATTAGCTCTAATGGATGGAGGGGACAGCTGATATGGCATGGGAAAGGTTAAAGATTACCAGGGAAGTTTTTGCAAATATACACATAGCACAAAGGAGTAAGTGCTGTAATGGTTTTGCACTGATATTTCTGAGCTAATGGCCTCGGCCACATCTCTGTACACCTATTCCTTCTCACTGCTCCTGCACTCACAGTCCAGTAATGCTAATTCATTTTGCTAGATAAGCATGGTAATTTTTTATGTGTGTGGTTTTTTGTTTTTTTTTTTAGAGGGCTGTAAATTTATACTTGGAACTTTGTAACCTAATTTCTTTAGTTATAGTAAAGGTATTTTCTAAAATAGGCCAATGCAATTCTTGGTTTTTTTTTAACTTGCATAGGTATTTTCCCATCTAATACTGAGTTCTCTTTCCTGCTGTATTAGCTACCAGTGCATTTGATACGATTTTAACTCTTGGCCTGAGAGCTGCCTTGTCATGTTTGGTAGGGGAAGTGTCTGTTGAAATGCATTCTTGCTGTGGCACTGGGTGTGCTTTAGGTCTGCTCCTTGGACATCGTTATCTGTGTTCCATTGGGTTTTTCAGTTTTCTGAACTTGCCACTGTTAAAATTTGTTTTCTTCTCACTTGCTGTATCTGAGTATAAAAAGCAACAGTAAGAAACGGATGGCAGGATATTAGTAAAGACTTTAAACCCCAAAGACATTCCTATGATAAAGGCAGGGCTCGATTTGAAGCGGTAGGATCTCCATTAGCAGTAATGGGTGAGTGCATCAGCTGAGGCATCTCAGAGGTTAATCGGGCTTCCTGGCTGGCTGCTGCCATCAATACAGTGTGGCGCCTGATTCTGTTGGCCCTTCAGAGGTTTTCCTGACAACACACTAACAGACTTTGTGTAAGTCATTTCCTATGAATTATTAAAACAAACGTTTGGCTGCTAATTGATGAACACTAATGTGTTTTCTAATCACTGCAGTTTGAGATTTTAGCACTAAACAAAGCAGTTGCAATTGATTTGTGGCTGCTTCTTGGTTTCAGACTGTGATCTGTACTTCTTTTTCCTTTCAATTTAGCAGGCAGCTTAGCTTGTCTTTTTAGTTAAGAATTGGCTTGTTATAGTGTCATTCCATTCTGATCTCTATTGCTATTTCTTATTTATATTGCATAATAAATCTGCTCAATTCTTTTATAGGCAAATAAGGCACAGTCCTTGATTCAAGGAGAAGATATTTAAAGTTGTAGTTTGGGTTGTTTTTCTTTAAAGCTCTATCCCTCCTACTGTGTGTACTCTCCCTCTTTCTCCATATAAAACAACATAAAGATGATCTTCAGCATCTTTAGATGATAGAAGGTGGTGCAATGAATGATTTCAAACCCTGGTCTGGAAAGCATGCAGGCTGTGGAAATTCACATTATATCTGATGGGATATGTGTGTACGTTGTGCAGAGTTGTCCTCTCTGGTACCTGGAGGATGGTGGTTTTCATTTTGTTAGGTTTGAAAGTGAAAGGCATAATTGCTGAGAAACAAATGAATGTGTCTGTCATATCTATCAAAGGTCAAACTCCTTGTCTCTCACACTTGTGCAGAAGACAGAACTATTTCAGCATCAACCATTAGGGGCTAGAAATATTTCTGTGTCTAACACTGCCCTCCACACACCCCCATCTTGGTTTCATCATTTGATTCTTCTAACTGTGTTCTGGGCCTCTTGGAATGAGTAAATAACAAAGTTAAAAATCTGTAACATGTAGAAAATGTTAAAATATTTCTTCTTTTTGAGAATGTTTTGGAAGCTTTTAACTCCAAAATAAAGGTGAATACTTCAAACTGATAGGATGCTGAGTTTTTCAAGATACTTCTGTTACATTACAGCCTCCCGCAGCTTTACATGACTTACAAAAGCATTTTGGTTTGTGTACTTCTGATGTGTGCAACGTAGTTATATCAGTTGTGTTGAGAAAAAATTTCAGATAGATCCACAAAACAGCCCTAAACATTATTTATTGGTTCTCTTTCTTTTTGTAGACGATAAAGACTGGACTTACAATGGTTGGGAAAGTAGTTACACAGCTGACAGGGACGCTGCCTTCAGGAGCTACTGAAGAGGAAATTTTAGCTCATAGCAACATCCGTCGAAGTCCTCTGGTGCCTGGAATCATCACTATCATTGATACAGAGACAGTTGCAGAAGGGCAGGTAATACAGTGTGCACAGAAACAGAATGTACGTCCGCTTTCAGAAAGATCTCAGGAAAATGTATTTTATGCTTTTGAAAATGAAAAATAGATTGGATTTTTGCTAGGTCAGAAACTTCTACAGTCACATGCAGCTGTGATAGTTGGGGACTGAAGTTAAGCCAATATATATATTGTCCTTAGAACATATTTATGTGACACTTTGACAACATCAAGTGTGAAGTGTCACATTTTGTCTCTCTAACACTTGTTCATAATTGACATTGATTTATGCTGATCAGTTGAAATGTGTATGTAGACTGATTATTAATATATAATGTGGCTGGAAAATGCAATTGTCTAGAAGTACGGTGAATTGTTGAATTCCAGTTTAAAAAAGATGATGAGTGAAGCTGAAGTATAAAAGCTTATAATTTTGTATCAGTTTCAAAACTAAAATGCAGTCACGCGTGATGCTGTTTTGTGAGGCATATGTTCTGTTTAACTAGTAACATACAGTACAGTGTGTCAGGGAAAATCTTTTGTTGAAAAATCCATACCCTTATCACACAAACTTTAAATGGGTGAATTGTGCTGTCTTTATGACAGAAAATATCCAGGTCTTTTTTGTTAGTTTCTATCAACTGTTTCATTTTTAAGTGTCCTGCCCTGGAATCAGTGTTTCTGCAGGGCTCCCATACACTTTATTGTTCTGTAGTTATTTTGTAAGATTTTTTTGTCCTAATTTGCACATTTATTGAATTTAAAAAAGAAAAAAACTATTTCTTCATGTTTTTCCCATCTTTATGATGCTCTTTGCAGGTAAGTTAGTCAGGTTTTAATAACAAATCAGGAGTCGAGTTCTTTTCTTACCTGAGTAGAAAATAAAATATTTTACTTGAAAACAAGCCCCACAGAAACCTCAGTGTGCTCTTTGAGCTGTGGTCATTCCTGAGAATTAGTTTTGGAAGTACTTATGCAATAGTTTTACATTGAAAAGGGATTTTTCATAGAATGTTTTAGGGCTTTTCTTCCAAAATTAGAAATAAAAAGGAAAAAGAGAATGGAAAAAAAGGATTTATTTTACTTAAAATCCTAGAGTTAGGTCTTAAAATAAGTCTGTTGACTGTTGGGGTTTGATTTTGCTGCCTGGAGAAAAGGTGGTTTTGGCTCTTTGTATACTGCCTAATTTTGCTTCATAAATTTCTCATGAAGCCTTGTTTAATGTGGTCATTATTTCTGACGGTCACTGTCTGTGCTTTGATTCTCCTGCATAGGCCTAGGGGGAAAAAATGATATATCTCTAGGTTTTTAATTCTTATTATGTATGATTTAGAGGTTTTATGAATGTGTCCTCTGACCCTAACAATACTAAGGAGCTATCAAGCCTAAAGGGCACTATGGAAAAGTAGTTGTAAAAATGATAACGCTTGCCTTGTCCAAATACTGCTGCTCTAACATAAATAAGCCATCAGTTCTAGCAAAATAATTTTCCTCTTGAATCTCTAGGGAAA